CAGGGCCGACTCGACGGCACAAAACAACAACAACAACAACATTTTATTTGTAACTTTTTCTTATCCCTACCAATTAGAATGTAAGCACCATAAGAGCATGCCCTTTGTATTCCCTAAAGCACTTAGTACAGTGCACTACACGTTGTAGGCATTCAATAAACATTTGTTAAATGGAAGTGGATTGGATACTGAGTAATGGGTGACCAGAACCACTGACGTTATTTGAAGAAAGCTTCATGGAAGAGGAGTGGGGCAGTTTAGATGAAAGATAGAAACTAAAATCAGGTAAGCCCCTTTAACTACGTCAGGTACTATGTGCAAATAAGCCCATATAGTCCCTTCGTTAATCCTGCAAGGAGTTGCTATCCTCATTTTCCAAATGAGGAAGCAGAGATTCAGAAGTGACTTCCTCAACGTCACAACGACCCCATGAGAACTTAGATCTACTCACTTTTTCAATACTACATCCCCACTGCCTAAAAGAATGCCTAGACTATAGTGGATGCTCAACGAGTATCTATTGAATGAATGAAGAGATGAACAAATAGAGCTAGCAAGGAGCAAAACTAGAAATAGAATCAAGTTCACCTGACTTCCAGTTCAGTTCTCTACTATGTTAAGTTGCCAATTTAAAACAGAGGAAAGGGAAGTACCATTTATTGAGCAACTACTATAGAACTAAACACTTTTTGAAAGGAGAGATCTTAGGGGCATCATTTTGAGTTAATTGTGCTCTCCAGTTCATGGCACATCAGTATCTGATTGTATTAGACACTTTACCTAAGTTATGTCGTGTGACTTTTCTAAAAATTCTCGGAGGCAGGTATTTCTGTCTCCATTGCACAGGTGAAGAAACACCCTCCATGAAATCACTCTCCCAAATTCACACAAACAGCATACTCCCTGGTTCCTGTCTAGATCTAACTCAAACGCCTGTGATCTTTACACTGGTCCATGATTTGGGATAGGAGAAAAAGAATATCCTGCAGAGCTGAGACAAGGAAGGGAAGGATTCTATTTAAGCCTACTGAGGTCACTGAACAAGTCAAGAATCAAGTTACAAGCAAGAAAACGTCAACGTCCCCTAGGAAGAAATCTCTCATTAGTTCTAAAATGCTGCTACTCCAACAAGGGCTAAGGAGGACAGGTGCTGATAAAATGAGGGGGCAGTGGAAAAGACACCTAATAAATTACTAAAACTCAGTATTTAACACAATGTAGGGTGGGAGGTCAAGAACTAAGAGAACGAGAAAGAAAAGAGAACGAGAGTTTCCCAAGAAGTCGTGGAAAGTACGAGGAGGTTAAAGGGAAAGCGGTTAGACCAAACAACAGGTGCAGTGTTGAGACTGGTCCCGGCATCAGGTAAAGGAAGGGCCTGTTGGGAGGTAGGAGCCCCGTCTGTCTCAGGCCACGAGCTCGTCACCTGGCTTCCTTAAGGGGCGCTCTGCCTCACCCTCAATTCCTTTCGTCTCAGATCCCAAACTCACCAAGGGCCGCGGTGCTGCTGTCCCCCCGTCTCCTGAAGATTCCATCGCTTCCGCCATCTTTGTCCTCTTTCTCCCGGGTCGCTCCCACAGGCCTTTGCGGAACCTGAGACGTGGATGGGCAGATCATAGCGTCATGAGGAGTTAGCCGCGTCACTGAAAGGCGCCTAGTAACAGCTGGTGGCTCCAGCTCTTCACTGCCCCTAGTCCTCTGGGACTTAGGGGAGGAGTCTTGCTTCGCCCCACCTGTTCAGGACCTCGAGTCCGGCTAGACACGCTCCCTTGATTCTTAGGTGTTCTGTTGGTCCGCGAACTCCGAGTTCCCTTCTCAACCCCATTGTCTTCACACACCCCTTTCTGGCTATCAGGAATTATAACTGAGTGCCCCTCACCCTAGCACAGCACCTCTAAGAAAGACTCCTTCCCTGGCGGTGAATTAACTTCAAGTTTCGGGACTCTTGTATGAAACGATGAGCCCCTCCCTACTCGCTCCCTCCGCCACCACCTCGCTGATTCCCTTCCCTTTTTATCCTGCTACCAAGCTGCTTCCCACTTTCTTGACTTATAAAACTGTACACTGTCTCCAGGGAACCCTGGTGGAGCAGTAGTTATAGCGCTTGGCTGCCAACCGAGCAGTCACCAGCGGTTCCACGGAGAACGATATAG